GGGTGACCCAGCCAAAATCAGCAAATTCACCCCAACCAGAAGCTCCTTTGCCCCTCTGAGCATCCCAGTGGTTCCCAACCCCAATTCTCAACCCCAATTCCCAATTACTAATTCCCAATCCCAATTCCCAACCCCAATTCCCAATGCCAATTCCCAATTCCCAACCCCAGTTCCCAACCCCAATTCCCAATTCCCAACCCCAATTCCCAATGCCAATTCCCAATTTCCAACCCCAATTCCCCATCCCAATTCCCAACCCCAATTCCCAACCCCGATTCCCAACCCCAATCCCCAATTTCCAACCCCAATTCCCAACCCTAATTCCCAATCCCCATTCCCAATCCCAACCCCAATTCCCAATTCCCAATTCCCAGCCCCAGGCAGCTTGAAAAGCCTCCAAGAAGCAGAGTTTTGTTTCCCCCAGCACCTCAGGCCGTGCTGGAAAGGGCAGAGAGGTTTGGAAATTCCCTGTTTTCCACTGAAAACTGCAGCACTCCCCCAAATCACAGCGTCCAGCTCGGGTTGTGCAGCATTTATAGGATCCTCTGTCCCCAAATGGGTCACAGGGACGGTGACATCCCATGGACTCAGGGAGAAGGGGTCACCCACAGCCATCCTAAAAACTCCAGCTCCCGGATTCCCAGCCCCCAGCACACACACGGGGTTGGAATGACCAGCAGACCCCACAGAATTCCTTTTCCAGCCTCCTCCCCCACCTGCATTTGGGGTGGGCGCTCTCAAGGGTCCCTTTGTCACAGCAGCTCCGACTCCTCCCTTCACTCGCCCACCAGAGGAAGATTTCCAGCCACAAACATTCCCAAAAGGCCTTCTCCCCCTACAAATATCCTTTTTTAAATTCATTTTTCCTTTTGTACACGAAAACCCCAAAACCAGCATTCCCCCGGGACAGAAACGCTCTGTGCCAAATGGAATCAGGAGTGGGATGTTCAAAAGTCATTCCTGCCATCAAAATAATCGAAACAATTCTTGCTCAGCCTCTGTAAATTCATCATTTTCATGAAATTCGTCCAATTTTCATTCATTAAATCCAAACAATCCTCGTGTTCTGATCCCAAATGCCACGGGGAACACCCAACCCTCGGATAACCAGGGGTTAAATCTGCCAAAGCCTCATGGAGCCCCCATATTCCCAAAGCTCTCCCAAAAGAATATTTTTTTGCCATTTTCCATTAATTTTCCTGCTATTTTCCATTCATTTCCCTGCCTAACTCTAACTCTAACTCTAACTCTCACTCTAACCCTAACCCTAACTCTGATCCTAACCTGACTTTTCAAGGTGATTTCTGATGAGCGAGCTGGAGCTGAAGAAAACCACCCAGAAACCAACTGGGAAACCCAGGAGAAGTAGGAAAAACATCAGCTCCTGGCTCTGGGGGTTGGAATGAGCGAGGGCTGGGAGCTCTGAACCCAAAAATGGGGTTAGAAAGTGCCCCCCATGGTGTGGACACCCCATAAACCCTATACAAGGCTCAGGGCAGGCACGGGGTTCATTTAGGGATTTCTCTGCTCACTGCAGAGTTTTAAAATTCACCGATTTATACCCAGATTGACCCAATTTAATTCCATTTAAACTGAGCTGTTTGTCCCTAAACTTCCCTGCTTCGTGTAGGGGCATCATGTGCAGAAAAAAAAAAAAATTGGATTTATCTGGTGTAAATTTGGAGTAAAAATACGAATATTTAGTATTTCCTCAGCTGGTGCSCGGAACGGGGATATCCCCAAAGGATGGGAAAGCCATGGAGGGCATTTCCTTGGGAAACACCTCCTCCCTCCTATTCCTCACTCCCAGCAGRCCCGATTCCCAGTTTGGCAATCAAACTGGGACCAGCAGGGAGATTCCAGGCACTGGAATTGCATTCCCAGGCACCAGGAAATGCCCTGAGCTGGGCTGGCTCCATCCTCCCGCCCCGGCTTTTCCCCGATTCCCATCCCTGGGTGTTGAACGTGTTCCGAGGGAGGCACAGGGACACCGGATTTGTAATATCCCAAAAAAATCGGGTCATTTGGCAGGGTTTGGACACTGCGGTGTCAGGGCAGCAGAGCAGAGCCAACGCCAAGGTGGAGCTGGACGGGATTCCCAACAGAAAGGGGGTTGGGAAGTGCAGCCTCTGCCTCTTCCTGGCCATAAAATCAGCCCCAGGCCCGTCCATCCTCTGTCCCCATCCTCCTCCTCCTCCTGCTGCTCTGATTCCACCAGAAATTGGGGAAACGATGGTGAGGATGGACAGGATGGAGGAACTAAAAATGGGGGAACCGCTGGTGAGACTGGAGAAGATGGAGGAACCAAAAATGGTGGAAACAATGGTGAGGATGGACAGGATGGAGGAACCAAAAATGGGGGAAACAATGGTGAGGATGGACAGGATGGAGAAACCAAAAATGGGAGAAATGTGGGTGAGACTGGAGAGGATGGAGGACTTTGGAGGTTGTGCCATCCCAGCCCCGTAGAGATGTAGGATTTTGGAGGCTGTGCCATCCTAATACTGAAAGAATGGAGAATTTTGGAGGCTGTGTCACCCCAGCCCTGGAGATGTAGGATTTCAGAGGTTGTGCCATCCCAATCCTATAAAGGATGTAGGATTGTGGAGGCTGTGCCATCCCAACACTGGAGAGGATGGAGGATTTTGGAGGCTGTGCCATCCCAGCTGCCATCACTTCCCTCCATCCCGGCTGTTTGCCCCTCCTGTCTCCGCAGGGAGCAGCAGCCCCACATTTCCCAAAGCCATGCTGACATCCCAGGATTTCCCGTGGTGCTCTGTGGGGTGGCAGTGCCAGCTGGGCACAGGGACTCACCAGGACTGCGGCTTCCTCTTGACCATGCCCTGGCGTCTCCACTGCGAGTGGGGGCTCAGGTGGTAGGTGAGCTGCCGGCACAGCTTCTCCATGGCTCCCAGGGAATCGCCTTCCTGGAAAACACCCACGGGACACGGGTGAGGGATCTGCTCCAACCCCACAGAGCTCCGGGAAACCTTCAGGGACCACCCTGGAATGGGCTGGAAAGGGGGAAAAATCCTCTCTGATTGCTGAGATCCTGCAGGTATGGGTTTATTACTGTTATTATTATTATCATTATCATTATTATTATCATTATTATATTTTTATTATTATTATTATCATTATCATTATCATTATCATTATCATTATCATTATATTGTTATTAATTTCAGTATAATTATTATTATATTCCATTATATTTTATATATGTATCTATATATAAATATATAAATACATGTTATATTTATCACATTTGTTATGTCATTTATTATGATTTCATATCTATTATATTTAATACATTTATATTATGTTATTATGATTATCATATTATTATTATGTTATTTTTTAATAATAGGTTTATAATATTATGTTATTGTAATTATAATATTATGTTATTATGTTGTTATGTTATTGTATTTTAATAGTTATATATAGATATATAAATACATATATTTATGGTTTTATTATTCATTATAATTTTATCACATCTATGTTTATTATATTTGATATATTGTATTATAATATTTATTATATTTTATTACAATTATTATTATTGTACTTCTTATTTTTATTATTGTTGACATTATGGCATTATTATATTTTTATATTTTTTAATTGGAATAATTATTATTGGCATGATCCTGGAACAGATTCCAGCTGGGAATGGGATTCCAGGAGATGGAGAAACCTTTAGGGACTGACCTCGAATAGGCTGGAAAGGG